AAAGAGCAAGATAACAGGAAAGATAGCTAATTCTAGACTTGAAAATTTCAGAGTTCAGGTGGAGATGTTAGAAGTATAGAGTTGAAGTAGACTTTAGAAGGAACTGGAAAGCCAATCCTAAACAGGAAAAAAGGAATAAACCTCTACTCCAGTTCAAAAGATCAGGGAGACATGTGAACCAGATGATAAGCAAATCTATCTACTCCTATTACAATATGCTGGCATAAGAAATTAAGTCCGTTTGTTTCCCCACTCAATCACTGGATGTGATATTTCAAAAATGCTTGGTTGAATGATAACAATTGTTCACATGTTTTGTTTTATTTTTAGTTTAAATTTTTTTTTTTTTGGTGGGGAGGGCATAATAACAGCCACTACCAAATTAACCACACCAAGGTCCCATGCCCAGATTTAGTTACTGTAAATAAAAATAAAAGAAGATCTATTAGGCATGAGAATTCCAACAGACATGAGTGAAAATGAAAGAGCTGTAAATATCCAGACATGGTCAGAGAATTGAAGAAGAAAAAAAAAAAAAAAGACTTGTAAAATATGAAGGTAATAGTTGTACCCATCATTACCAGAACACTTGAAACAGTTCCACAAAACTTACAAAAAAATCAAATTTAAAAAAGAATCAAAACCATCCAAATGATAATACTATAAAAATCAGATGGGATATTGAGGAAACTTGCTGTTACTTAACCCTCATTGAGAAGAAGCAGATACTGTTAATGTGAATAGTTTTCATATTAACAGTATCTGCTTTTTCTCACTGGGGGTTAAGTGACAACAAGTTTCATCAGTAATACTTATAATAATGATGATGATGATTTGTGCTTATACAAATCTAACACTCAAACAAAACAGAATGAATCATCATAACTGTCATTATTACTGTTAAGATATCAAGATAAAGTTTAAGTCCATCCACTCTAAAACCTAAGGTTTACAGTCATATCACATTCAACACCAGTTCTTGTATGATCACCAAACTTAAGCAACATCAAGCATGGTCAGTAGCTAGATGGTTGACCACTAGAGAATACCAAATGCTGTAAGCTTGGATATGTTGGTGATGTAACGGATAATGGCTAAAAATTGAAAATCGGAGGGCCAAGTTCCAATTAAACAGAATTGTTATATTCACTTAGGAAAGGCATGAATCCATCTCTTCTCCCCCAGCTATGGGTTAATTAGTAGAATGTGTATCAGTAAAAATCATTATCTCCAAAAGACTCTTACAAACTAAAAATATTTTCTGGTTTTAAATAACCTGAAAGAAATTGATAAGCCACAAAAAAAAAAAAAAAAAAAAAGAAAAAAGAAAAAATAAAACCTTACATCATTCTTTAATTATAGCGTAACAATAGACAGTTTTATGAATTATGAAGCAGCTTTTCATATAAAATTTTGCAATCACTGTAAACAGATTTTTTTTTTAAAAAAATAAAAATGAAGCAAATATTAACTTAAGAGATGATTGTGTAATTTCTTTATCCAGAGTAAAGTGGTTTTTTACCGAAGCGAAAAGCAACACCTGTCTCTGAGTCAGCAACATAACCTCGGAGTTATATGAGCACCTACAATGTCATGAAGATTAGCAAATTTGTCTCATAGACCAATTCACCGAGGAGTTCGATCTACTATTGTGGCATTCTGCCAGATTAAGCTATGCTTAATAAACAAACATTAAACCTTTTACATGTAGCAACAGAATACAGACGACATATATCTGAGTATTTTTCCCCACCTTTTTTTCTTTTTGGTTTGTAGAAGAAATGGTTACATTTAAATTTTGGGTAGTTATTCTACAGCTGCATTCATTGAATGGGCAGAATAGATACTATGCTTTAAATATTTAGAACAAAAAAGGTTTTTTATATCTTAAATGTGGCAATTTTCTATTAATCTGACTTCTCAATAAATAGCTGATTAAGGATTATTTCTGTAAGTACTGAACATAAATGGTGAATTTCATTTGCATATATTCTAAGTATTTATACAATTTTAATACTCTAGAAATAGACAACAGGTTAAATCCCTATAACTGTTACTAGGGAATAAAAATCAGATTTTTGTTCTAAGAGATAAAAGTTAATAGGTGATAGAATCACATTTCTTTGTCCATGGTTATAAAAGTAATGTTCAGTGACATTATATATATATATATATATCAAATATGTGGTGTAGTTCAATTCATATTACAATAAATCATTCTTACAAAAAATAAATTAGTAAAATTAATGATATAAAATGTCGAAATCACTTCACTAACTAAATTTTACAGATGCATTAACCTACCAATTACTCAATGAATGTTATGATCCTTGTTTTTTAAAATTATAAACTGCATTAGGTCTTTCTTAAATACGCAAGTACTTTCGACTGTACAGTCATAAAAAAAAACATATTTTGATTTGCATTATATCTTTTCGCCTCGAATGCTACCTGGATTTTACCAAAAACAAAATAATTTCCATGCCTGAAGATGACTGAATATACTTGCATATTTAAGGAAGACCTAATACAGTTTATAATTTAAAAAAAAAAAAAAGGATCATAACATTCATATGATTGGTAGGTTAACACATCTTTAAATTTAGTTAGTGAAGGAATTTCGCCATTTTATATCATTAACTTTACTAATTTACTTTTTGTATGAATGATTCATTGTTATATATATATATAGGTAGCATATCTTCATTCAAACATGTTTCATTGAATAATATAGAAATATTATGTCTATTTTTATAATAATACTTTCTAGTTCTCTAATCAGTCTCTTGATGCCAACATGAAATTCATCAAGGAAGGCGACATAGTTTTCTCCTACCCAAGTACTTTTGATCTCTTCCGAGATCATCCTCAAGGTTGAATTACAAAGAAAAACTTATTTTAACTGAGATCGTTGTGATGGTGATTTTTTAAAAAACACCACAGCTAAAACAAATGAATTAAAAATTTAAAAATAATTATAAAAGAGCACATTTACACCTGTTTTTTTTTTTTTTTTTTTTTTGCCATATTCATGTTTCGTCTGTTGTACACCTTCTTCGGCTGATATATTTTTTGAATTTCAAACTGAACCCTTTATTTAGTCCACAGGAGTAGATTGTTCTAATTCCACATGCCATGCCTTTGGATATCTCAATTCGAACAATGTAGTGTAAATAGTTACAATACCTCATCTCAAAAATATAGACAGATGTAGAAGTAAAAACATTGTTAGTTTTTCAGAATTTTAAATTTAAGAACACTCATAAATATATTTCAGGCTAACTGAAAGTTAAGGTAAATTATGCAGGTTGCTGATGTATGGTGATTTAATTTATATTATTATTAAAGTAACAAAGTAAATAAGAAGAAGAAGAATGAAGTATTGGGTTGATGTCAACATATTAATAAATATTTACTTTGTTAATTTAATAATTATATAACATAATAAATCAATTAAAATATTAATTAATAATACAAATACAACATAAAATATTATAATTTAATTAATAATACAATTTAGCAAATGTTACAATTTAATTAATAATACTATTTAGCAAATGTTACAATTTAATTAATAATACTATTTAACAAATACTACAATTTAATTAATAATATAACATAAAAACTTCTACATAAATCATAAAAAATAAAAATTTTAATTTGATATAAAAGAAAAAATTTACAGCTGGAAGAAAAATCCACAGCTGAAAAAATGAAGACGTAAACAAAAGCAAAAATTCATGAATGTGCATATGTAAAAGATTGTTAAATTCATGAATACACACGTGTACAAAACAGAGTAAAAAGTGAATTGAAAAAGACGCAAAAAAATTGGACCTTCTGAAGGATGGAAATTTACCAAGAAATTCCGAAGTTGGGGAAAAGAACAAAAAAATTTGATATTTAAAAGTTAAGTAATCTTATATATATATATATATATATATATATATATATATATATATATATATATATATATATATATATATATATATATATACTTTAGTCAAGCTGGGCTTCGTCACCCTTAGAATTATAATTTTTTTAAATTGTCACAAGGAGAAAAACTGAAAATGTAGAATAACAAGTTTATTACAATATACAACTTAATATAAGCTAAAGGAAAAATTCATTACACTACCTAAAACATTTTTTGCAAATCTTTTCATGGCACTTTCTATATCTATCTTCTTTACAAGATAATTTTCTATTGATAAAATAACCAAAGAGTTTAATCTCACTTGAGTCATGGATGACCTCAAGTATGTTTTCATAAGATTTAATTTTGGAAGATCCCAAACACATGACGGAACCCTGGGCAATTGCCAGTACCTGGATATCTCTCTCTCATACATTATATATATATATATATATATATATATATATATATATATAGTAGATTATTTTTTTTTTTGGTTGAGAAAAGAGTCCAAAAATTCTGATGTTTAACATTTCTATTTTGTCTATTAGCCTAATAATGTACAATAAATATTATTCTGTATTTTGTAATTTTTCTCATCAACCTATTACATTAGATTATATAATCATGTTTAAAATTTGGTATACTTATGAGGGAAAGAGTGCTCAATATTGGAGATTGAACAGAATATGAACATAAATATCAGCACTACATTACTGTCCAGTTTCATGTCTCAACTGACCAGAGGTGTGAAACTGACAGTCGTTATATAATGTTCATTTTTATGTCAACATTGTTCATATATATTGATTCATTCATTCATTTTTTTATGGCTTATCAACCTTTTGCAGGTTATTTAAAACCAGAAAATATTTTTAGATTGTAAGAATTTGGGGGGGGGATAATGATTTAGTGATACAAGTCTTACTAATTAACCCATAGTTGGGGGATACATAGTAGAATCATACTTTTCCAAAGGTTATTTGTACATAAGTCAATATAACAAACCCAAGTAGAATTAGAACTCATTTCTCCAATTAACAATTCTGAGTGATTATCCATTATACCACCCATATATCCAAACATACAATATCTGGTATTCCCAAACAGTCACCCATTTAGGTACTGACCAGGCTCAACATTGCCTAACTTCAGTGATCGTATAGGAACCCGTGTTTCAACAGGATGTGGTCGTAAGCCATATTGTGTTTAAACCCACTATACATATATCTGTACTAGATATTTAACAAGATTACCTTATTCTGGCACAAGGCTAGGGCACTCATTGCAAACCAAATTCAACGCAATAGTAATTGGTAAGATTATTGGTGCCTATTGATTTTATTACTACTCTACTATTCTCTTCAATTAGTTTTACACATTTTCTGCAATTACAGATATTTCTGGTGATGGAAGGAATTTTGGTGATATTGCAAATTTGTTTAAGCAAGATTCAGCATGCAATCTGTGCCTTGCACATTGCAACTGAGAAAAAAAACCTTATTGTTAGTGTTCAGGAATTAAAACAAGCATTAATGTTAAACAGAACAAAACAAAAGAATTAATTTTATATATACAATCTTTTTCCTATTTGGCCATTCCTGAGACAACCAAATGAAACCTAGATTTTTTTTTTTTTTTTTTTTTAAAGATTCATATAAAATAAACAAACTTTATTATCTATCATGCTTACCAAGAAAAGGCACCTCTTGGATGCCTTTCAACAGAACCTGTTGAACATGTAATAAGGGTAAAAAACTAAAAAAAAATGCTAGATTCACAAAATAGACATTGAGCAGAACTAAAAACAATGAGTAAAAAGAAACAGACTCAAGTACACCTCTATATTCATCATATGACAAATGAACTACATTAAGTAACAACCTACATTTTATAATTTATAAACTTGTTTCAGAATATGACTGACATAGTCTTACCTATTGTCTATACACTAAGATATTTATATGTATATTTTGCAATGGAAGTAGCTTAGACGCAGTACTCTGAAAATATCACCTTCTATCTCTACCCGAACTACCAGGGTAATAAAGTTTTTACTATTAAACAGAGTTACTCAAGCGTCCAATAGTGTAAACTGATTCCTTTGGAGGAGGTTGTTCTAACAGTAGGAAGACCTTGAAATTAGTGTAAGTCTATGTTTAGTTTAATTCCTTGGAACAAGCAACAAAGAACAGGTGAATTAACAGCAACTGCTATAAAGTGTTGATAGGCAATTTAAGCAGAAAGCAGAAAGCAGAAGACTTGCAAATCAGTAAACAAAAAAAAATATTAAATAAAAGAAAAAAATTAATAGAATGAATATTTTTTTAAATGGTTAGGCATCTATTTTTGCTATTCAAGCACCAAAAGATTAAACATAGTCTTTTACTCTTGCTCATTTGTAAAAATGGATTCAACCAGATAACCTATGTGTGATTTAATAAGTAAAGAAGTATTGTAGCTGTAGTAGACACAAGTCATGGACAGGATTTGGCTCCAACTGGCTGGAAATGATTGCTAAGAACATCCCCTACCCAAATTTATAAACAAATCCTACAGATGCATGCCAGGATTTCTTCCTAAACAATAAAAATTAATCAATTCTTGGTTTCATCCTATATATTTTTTGTTCTTTCTTGACTCGAAGTCAAAACACAATCACTTGACTGTATCTCTTTTGCATGTGAAAACAATTCTTACTTTGTGAACTTTTTGCCTGATTACTATTGCCTTGCCTAGTTTTGACTTGCATATATATTGTTTGCTTAGTATTATTTTACCCTGTTCTTTTTCTGTCTTTTCTTATTGTTTACTGATAACTTTATCAACTCAGCTTGTTGAGAATTTTATCAATTAACCATGGCTAATTACTTCACAATTGATGGTAACTTTCTTCCTTTCCAGATGTTCAAACATGACAGAATAATTTATTTTTATCTTCACATATAACATATTGAGCATGAAAAAAAAATCAAAGATATACAAACATTGTCAATGAAACCTCACTCTTCCAGTTGTGTGACGGACAGTTTTACACTATCTTTACAACATGCACAAATTTCAGTAGAAAAGTGAGTCACAACTCAAGAATTTTAAAATTTATCTTTTCTGACCAATGAATAAGTAGATTACAATTAGCTAATCAAAATATTAATTAATGACAACACTTTCCTTATCCATCCAATATCTATTTAAACCTAGAAGTCCAGCCAAAATTCTTTGGTAATGTTAGAAACACTAGCATCAATTAAAAAAAAAATCTAATTACTCAATTTTAAATTTTCTACACTATTTACATTGTTCAGACTGTTGTCGTCATCTTCATTTGCCATATTCACGACATTTTGTCTATTGTACACTTTGACCGTCTTATTTCATCCACCAAGGTAAATTGCTCTAGTTCCACAAGGACTCATGGCCCAGTGATTAAAACCATTAGTTGAATCTAGTGACTTGACCCAATGAGTTGTGAGTTCAATACCTGGCTACAGCAGAGGTGAACAAAAACTTGGAGAGTTGCGTTAAAGGGAGATAACTGATACCAAGAAATCTGGAAGAGGCATGGCACTTAGAACTAGATCTATCTATTCAGTGGACAAAATAAAGAGTTCGGTTTAAAATTCCAATCACCTGAAGAAGGTCAGCACATACAACAGCCAAAACGTTGTGAATATGGCAACAAAAATGAAGATAACAGTCCTAACACTGTAAATAGTGTAAATAATTACAATACCTCATCTCAGAAATATAAACAGATATTAAATTTTTTTCTTGATCACTCAAAGAAATGTTGAACAAATTTCTACTTCTTTCTGAATGTAAATATATGCAGAAAATCATGTTTTCAGGTGTGAATCCTTGCGTGAACTTCAACCAACAGTAACAAGGTCAGGTTATTTTTCTCCCACAATGAGATTACATATACATTAATAATTTTTATTATTGTAAACATTATTTTTAGTGAGTACAGGTATTTAATTTGTTGTCGCTTTTTTGTTTCTTATTGTTTTAAACAGTGAAATTAATAACAACCGGCCTAGATTGAAAAGTCCTATTAAAGAAAGATTGTGCCTTTGAGAGGAATTGAACATGTGTCCCCTTTTCCATTATTATATTGCTATAAATGTTAATTTTAGTGAGCACACATATTTGAGTTGCTCTCCCTTTTATTTCTTATTTTCTTAAACAATGAAATTAATAACAACCGCCCTAGATTGAGAAGTCCTACTAAAGAAAGATTGTGCCTTTGAGAGGAATTGAACCTGTATTCCCTTTTCCATTATTATATTGTTATAAAGGTTGTTTTTAGCAAGCATACATATTTGTGTTGCTCTCCTGATTATTTCTTATTTTCTTAAACAGTGAAATTAATAACAATTGGTTTAGATTGAGAAGTCCTACTAAGGAAAGGTAAAAAAATCCATTAAAATTACATTAGTATATTAAACTTCAAACACACACACACAGTTAAAGATATCAAGATATGACTTTTCACTCACCCCTGTCTGATCAAGCTACTTACCTGTTAGTTAATATACATTTGCTGATCATAAAAGATAAATGATCCTGGATTAAAGCACAAAGCTTATACATAAATGTATCTTCTAATTCAATGTTAATATTTGCAAATCATTTTTTAATACTTTTGGAATATTTAAAAACTAAAGAGAATTCTCTTTACCAGAAATAGTGATCACTGACACTAAACACCTTCTTTACTGATTTGAATAAATTATTGAATAATACTAAGAATGAATACATGAATTCAATCATTTAAAATATAAAAGTAACATTTATATCTACAATCAATAAAGCTACATATACGGGTGATGTCATGGATAGCAGCTTTGAACAAGAAATTGGAGAGCCAAGTTCAAATTCCAGTAAGGTTTTATTAAATTCACTTTCACACAAATACCCTGGGAAAGGTATAAATCAACCTCCTTTCTCCCTAGCTATGGGTTAAATAGTAGGAGAGACTAAGATTCTCAGCTTTGGCTAGCAACCAGCAAGGAGAAAGACAACTGAATTCAAAACCATTTGTCGTCCGTAAGCAGCTAACGAAAGGATTGTAGAATTCACAATGACTATAATCCAAACTGTAGTCAATCTGATGATGGATAAACTTACAAAATTACTTTAATGAAATTCTAAAAATATTAAAAAAGCTAATGATACTGATGTAATGGAATAACCAGTCACCCCCATGAATGATTACACTATAGGTAGGATTAGTTATTTACCTATAAAGCCAACTGTCTACAAGAGACTTGAGGAAGAGAGAGAGTTAGAAGACACAAGCACATCCAACATTCCAACTAGTGGCACTCACTACTAGATTGACCTGTGTGTATAACTGTACCATATTTCATATTGTACTGGTTGTGTATAATAAACCTTTCTTCTATTATCCACCTGGTTTTAAGTATTTATTCCCTTAGCACGGAATATAACAGATACTAACATCTTCTAACATTTAATACAGAAATTTTTATATATCACAATTTTAGGGAAAAAAAACAGCAATTTAACCTTCATGCCCATAAAAAAACAGTGTATCAAAAGAAGTTTCTCCCATGATACTACTATTATTTTAACTACCTTCACTCCTCAGAAATGTTTATTGTTTTAAAAAGCAATGATTAGAATTGTAATAAAACCTAAACATATGATGAAAGTGAATTTATACATTTTCTTTGTTCTTGAGAATTGGCAACAAAAATAATAAACACTATTAGATTGTTTATTGGGATGGTTAGCAAAACATCGGCTAATTGCCAATCAATTTAAATTTTATAAAATAGTAAATAAGCATTTTAGTTCACGTATTTTAATAACTTAATAAATGTTTATAAATTTATGAATAAAATATTGTTTTCATATTTACTTATTAATTGGTAGATATTGCATTGCATTAGTTTTAATACAATTGTGTTAGTTTTTAGAAAGTTGTAAATATAAAATTACTCATGTAAATAAACAAATAAAGAGTAATTAATATTTTTGTTGTAAATTATCAAGAACAAAAACAATGTATATATTCAATTTCATGATATGCTTAGACTTTATTACAATTCTAATAACCACTTTTTAAAACAATAAACATTGCAGAGGGAGTGAAGGTAGTTAAAATAATAGCAGTGTCAAAGGTAAAACTGCCCTTGTGACACACCGTTTTTGTGCAAACATGAAAGTTA